ACCGTTATCCAATAGTATTTCATTTTTTATTTTTTTTCTACAAATCAGAATGATTTAAAATTTGGAGAGTGTATTCATCAAATATAGAAAAATCTTTGAAAAATATAAAACAAATATTTTATACGAAAATATTGGCCAAAATACCCTTGAAAGTTTCAGAGGTATTTTGGTCAATTTGTTTTTCACAGATAATTTGTTTTATATTTTTATTAGATGCGCCTCAGTAAGATGTACACACCCTCCAAATTTCAGGTCATTCCAATTTATAGAAAAAAATGAAAAATAAACCATTACTAGATAATCGTGACCGCGCGATTAAATATAGATAATGATGAGGGTAAACGAAATCAATATTTATTTTCGCCTAAAAGCCTTGGGAAGACTTTTCCATATATATATATATAATCTTCTTAGGATGAAACTCGATTAACAAATTATTTAAACTTTTGGTTTATATAAAAATAATATAATATAGCATATATAACTTTAATTATTTATTATCAAAGTTTCTAATAAAAAATTGTTCTATATTTTTTACAACGTAGAAGAAAGCTATTCTATAGCGGGTCATACCAGGTCATTAACACCTAAGCAAGTCTAGGCCCAACCTCAAGCCTACCAGACTCTAGGCTGTCAGCACAGACCCGCCCATTGCCCCCCTAAGTTCTTTAGCTCACGTCCCTCTAACTCCATCGTGGACATTTGGAAAATTTCCGTCAATGAGTTGGAAACATAAAACTATGATGAGATTAGGGTTCAAAGACGGGGACGATTTTCACTAACAACATTGGTGGACTGAATTTTTGGGCAATCAAGAGAGTCAGGTTAAAATGGAAACTCTATTTTATTCTTGAGAAATAACTAAGAAGAATATCTTCAATATTTATTGAACGTACTCTATCAAGGAAAGAAATAAAATAGTAAGACAAATAGTTCCTAAATATAGGTATTAAATTATTTAAAGATGGAGTAATTACTCGTTTTCTAAAATACCCGAAAATTCTATTTTTCAGTATAAATATATATCAAAGTTATGCCTCTTCTTGGGTCTGTTCGCCATGGAAGGGTTAAGGAAGAGGATGGTTCTCTTGCTACTGTCAATGACCATTGCCAAGTTCCATTTTGGCACGTGTGAAGCTAAACAAGGCCAAGCCCTTATGCAGCACATGAATGCCCAGTTTGTAGGAAATGTGGGGGTTGAGAACTGGGGCTCTTTTGATGAGGTCACACGTGTGTTGCCGCAACATGGGTTGAGAGAGAGAGATGAGATTGTTGGTGGTTTGCCTGGTCAGCCTGAGGGTGTCGAATTCAAGCAGTATGCCGGCTATGTGACTGTCGACGAGAAAGCGGGGAGGGCGCTCTTCTACTATCTCGCCGAGGCCGTCAACCCTCTCTCCAAGCCTGTCCTCCTCTGGCTCAATGGAGGTATTTCTCTCTGTGATGCACACATGCCCATATACAAGTGAATGCACGTATTGCGCATCCCATATTCCCTCAGGTGGACACAGATTTGACCCAGCTCGAGTCTAAGTCGTTTGGACCCAATGGGCTGGACCCAAACCCGACCCACTGGGTCCAAACATGGACCTAGATGTCTCATGAGCAATTGGTTCCTTGTCTGTCATTGTCTAATCATATTTTAGAATTGTTATCTTTATTAGGAACTAAACTAGTATTTTAAAGTTAACTATCGGGATTAGGTAAAGTCAATTCGGATTGGGAATCAATGAGGGAGCTAAGAATAAGCCTGATTTTAATTAACTTGCCCACTTCCGTCAAAATTTTGATGAAATCGGTCAGGGATAGTCTTAGTTCTCACTCATTATATTTTTTTTTGTTTTCAATTTTTTAAATTAAGATATATTTTTTAGATCGATTCTTAGACTAGCGAATCAGCCCCGTTCACTAACCGAAATTCGAAACGAGGCTTCTGGCAGATCCAATTTTAGAAACCCCGTTGCAAATAGAATCTTCAAATCCCACATGTAGCACTTGCATGTTTTCGGAAGTATACATATTTGGAATAATTTAACCGATCCATTTTTTCCAAAATTCACTAGAGCCGAAATCAGTCGAGAATCGCAAATGACGGCACAAGGCACCTTTGGAGGCTCTGCTTTGCCGCAGATCCAACTCAGGTTTCGCCTCGAACCTCCCCTTGAAATTAGTCTATATATATATATATAAATAAATCGAACTAGAAAAGAAACTTTCCTTTTAGTACATTCTCTTTTGTCCAAACTTTGGAGTAAGATGCACATTCACATAAAGAGAGAATCTGTCTTGGAGATTATTATCTTCATTTGAAACTTTTAAAAAATTTGTTTTAAAAATAAGTACAAAATTGTTACTTTTAAACAACGAAATCACAGTCATTATTGACCATTATGTTTGAAATCAAGTGGCTACGGGGATGTGCTCAATTGGGTTACAAAAAATTAAATAAAATTTCTCGAATTGTATGACATACCCTTATGTAGATTTCACATCTAATAATTGATTGTGACTTCTTTGTATTAAAAATAAATAGTCTTATAATCAAACAATCCATCTTTTTAAAAAAAGCTATATATTGTAAGTAGAAAAGTAGAGATATGCATGACACATACTTCTTTCTAATGTATTATTTAATATTATATGGCACATACTTCTTGCTAATGTATTATATGATATTATATATAATACATGTGAAAAATTTCAGTCAATACAAAGCAAACATAGGAAAAACAACGTGAAATAAAAAGAAGGTAGAATAAGGGCATTTTGATTTGGAAATGGAAGCAAAGCAAGATTTTCATCATAGTGCATTTGACTTCAACATACGTTAAAACTCATTCAATTATTATCATATCCTTAAATTTTTGTATTGCCTCTTTACCCTCTCTTCAAGTCAGTCAGTGTTGAGAAAAAGATAAATTGATGGACTGCACAGGAATATGCAAATAAGAAGTGCTAAAAACATTACATGACTATGTCAAGGAAAAGTTCTTTTCATGTGCTAAATTTAAATTTAATTATGGAAATTAAGAAATCAATTTTTTTACATTGGAATCAGTTTTGTGGAAAGGATTTATATAGGATTTAGAGAAAGGTGAGGTTTTGTAAAAGGATGGCACCTTAAACAATCAAAGTGGGGCACCCAAACTTGATATTTAAAGACGCAGTTCAAGTGCGATGATGGTTTATAAATCTATTTTCATATATAATTATAAAATCTAAATTACTTATTTAGAATGAGTTGATTTATAAACACTTGAAAATTTTAGAAATTGGCTGTCCAGATAATACATTGCAAGATATGCTATTTTTAGCACTTGAAATTCTTTTATTTTTCGAGATGATCAACTGGAGGTTTTTTGTGTCAAGGGGCGCCTATGACATGATATTTTCTTAGTCTAGGTTTATCTTAAAGAGCGCAAATCTTCTAAGACAGGGGTTGTAGATAAATAATGCATAATAGGGTTTACAAATGCCTTTTAGTATAGGGTACGGTTTGCATAGAGTCGAGGCTCTAAACAATCAAAGTAGAGCACACCTCCAAATACTGCAGAGAAATGTAGTTTCAATACTAGAAATATTTATGATAGCCTTAAATATGCTTTCATCTCTAATTATAAAATTTAAAGCTTCAAACACAGTGTAGATCAATCATATCTATGAAAACCTGAAAATCTTGAAAATTGATAGTCCAAAAATGCATTACAAGGTGCACTATTTCCAAAACTTGAAATCCATTTTTTTGTCATGTCCATGCATCTTGATGTCGAGATGATCAATTTGAGAATATTTTTCATATACATGTATCTTGATGATCAATTTGAGAATATTTGGGCAACAAAACAATCTCTTCTAGTCACATTTTTGAGGTGCACCCTAATTTGATTTTTTAAAGCCTAGGCTCTATATAAACTTTTCCTTTAGCATAATATATTATCATCTTTGTAGCTGTGACTAATGCATGGTGTTTCCCATTTCCACACAAACCCTAAGCATTTTTATGGATTTGCATGAAGCCTTAGAACTCTGATAATCAAACACTAGAGGGAGCGTCAGTGAGACAAACTCACTCTGCAAAGGAGACCAACGAAATTCCATGGAAGTTAACCAGAGTGTGAAATCAAAGATTGGATGAATGTATAATAATAAAGTAAAGAACTCAAAAATTCAGCATTGGAATCATATGAGTATGTGTATTATGCTCCCTCGGAAGCATACTGTAAATTTACTCCCTGGTAAAACATTTACTTGGGAGATTTTCCTTTATTGGAAATATCAGATCTATCTAATTATAACTAGATAATTATCTTCTAAGAATTGTTTTTTGGGATTTTGAGTTCTTTAATATCTGGATCATTAACTATTTTGGAGATTTTTCTTGATTGGAAATATTGGGATCTATCTATTTATAATCATTTCTGCCAATAATTGGATGGTTCGAGTGTAATCTTGGGAGGTGGCGTTTTTTAGGCAAGAATTAAATTTTGTTCTTTGAGGTTGGTTATCGGGTTGTCGAGACCATATCCCCAAAATTTGGGATAAAAAAGATATTCCTAGTGTATGTTTTACCCAAGGGAATATATGAATAGTATACTTCTGAGAGAGTAGGAAATGTTTTGGCAAAACATATATGCCAAAGAAATAATTCTCTGGTTTGTGGAAAAGGGAGCATGTACGTGCTCTCATTTAAATTTTTTTGTATCTATATAAGTTCTGTCTTCAAATAAATATATTTTTAAGATATGTTTATATATGATGTGATTTTCGAATGTATTTTCTGTATATCAATAGAAGGGAAATACATAAATATACACAGATAAGTTACATGATTTTCTCCATGAATTTGGGAGGTAAATCCGGAGAGGTAAAATACACGATTTTCTTTATGAATTTGGGAGGTAAATCTGAAGAGATAAAATTGACTTTTGAATAAGTCTAATACTCCTCCTCAGGTTTGAGCGTGGAGGTCCTTGATGCCCAACTTGACAAGTAGGAATATGAAATTCTCTCGATCTAACTCCTTGGTAAAGATATCAACCACCTGGTACGAAGAACCAATAGAACATAGTTGAATAAGGCCTTGTTGATGCTTTTCTCGTACAAGATAGCAGTCCAGTTCCATGTGCTTTATGTGTTCATGATAGACTGGATTAGCTGAAATATGAATGGACACTTGGTTGTCGCAATAAAGAGTCATAGGCTAATTATGAGAAATGCCAAGGTCTTGAAGGAAATTTTGAGCCATTGAAGCTCACAAGAAACTAATGCCATGGCCCTATACTTGGCCTCCGTAGATGAATGTGAAACTGTGCTTTGTTTTCCAAAAAATTGGAGAGGCGCTGAGGAAAGTGCAGTATCCCATAGTAGACTTACGAGTCATCGGACAACTGGCCCAATCATAATTACATTAGGCTGTGGCATGAAGTGAGTTGAAAGCAGATAGTAGAATACCTTGGTCAGGACTGTCTTTCAGATATCTAAGTAATTTGAGGGCCTCAACCATGTGAGGTTTGCCAGGGTGTTGCATGAATTGACTAAGAATGTGAACTGAACACACAATATCTGGCCTTGTTATCATCATATAAATGAAATTCCCCAGAAGCTGACGATATGGAGAAGGATCGTCACGCAAATCACCATTTGAATTGTTAAGTTTTAAATGTTGTTTCATTGGCAAGTCACTAGTGCGTGCTCCACGAAGTCCCACTTTTTCAAGTATATCTAAAGTGTTTTTTCTCTGTGTGAGATAAATACCCTTAAATGAATAAGCCACTTCAATCCCCAAGAAATATTTTAGGGGAGCAAGTTCTTTGATATGGAACTTACTATGTAAATACCACTTAATAGTCTCAATGGAATCAACATCATTACCGGTGATTAAAATATCATTGACATATACAAGAATAAACACAGAGTGGGACCCTAAAATCTTGGTGAAGAGCGAGTAATCTACCTTAGATTGTCGAAAGCCAATTATATGTAAAGCAGATGAGAACTTAGCAAACCAATTTTTTGATGCTTGCTTAAGGCAATATAAATATTTATTTAAACGACAAACTTAGTGCTCCCTAGTCCCGAAAAATCGGGAGGAATCTTCATATAGACTACCTCGATGAGATCCTTGTGTAAAAAGGCGTCATGAACATTGAGTTGTTCAACATATCATCCCTTTATAATGGTTAGAGCAAGCAAGCAACAGACCATGACCAATTTTGCCACTAGCGCTCATGTGTGAGACAGTGCCGAAGGATGTGGCAACGGTTGTCAGCCGGTGCAACTGAATTTGAGGTATCACGACTAGGATTCATGGCACGTGTAAGGGATTTTCTCTTAGCCGACGCTGGCCTTTGAAAAACTCAACCGGCGTTGAGGTGTTGACAATCTGAACCGACACTGAGTGCTGAAAGACTCAACCAGCGCTAGTTGTT